AGGAATAAATGCATCTAACGATTAACTTGACGATGACCGTCTGAACGCCACACCTTACCGGCTGGCGTCGAAACAAAGAATAGCGCCTACAAGTATCGCAGTGGGTACTAATCAACTACTAAACAAATGCTACGCGCTATGCGATGAAGCTGCGGCTACACTATCTATGCATTCATAGTGCCTTCAACATATAGAGACAACTCAATCTAATTTTTCTATAGGGTTGCCCATCAGAAATTGAATTTTCTATTGTACAAATTATTCTTTTAAAAAGGTTTGTCCATCTTGCAGCTGAGTGCTTCTTCTGTACGTCTCGTCGTAACTTTATAAAACTGTAACTATAAAACGTAACGTAACGTAACTATAAAAAACTGTTACGTGTTTTGGACATTCACAAGTAAAAATCGATGATGAAGACGAGTAATTTGGCCCCAGGACAAACCTCGGTGCAATTTACTATGAAATTTTGTAATAATGACACGAGACTTTTATTTTACAGCCATTGCTTTTAAATTTCGACAATCTGCTTCGCGTCTGCTCTGAGCCAGGAAAAACTCTGTGCAATTTACTAAGAAATGTGGTCTTACCAAATTACCAAATTAAAAGGATTATAATGGATTATAATTAAAAGGATTATAAAGGATTATAATTAATAACCAAATTAAAAGGATTACCTGATCTGAAGAAACCTCCCTCGGCCTTGGCAAACTGCAAGTCCATTATTATTTCGGCATCGCCTTTATTAATGACGTGATCGTCTCGCTTCTTCATCTCGTGGAAACTCGTGTACTGAACAATCTGGAGGTAAAAGGTTCTTGTTAGCTTAGCAATGACATATATTATTGGTCTGCTTATTTAGAAGCCGATTTTATAACCTGTATTAAATAATCTAAATCATGCCGTGGAAATGGAGCAAGGTTTATTTTTAGCGCATTTTCTCATTTATGGTAAAAGGGCGCTATTGCATGTGCTCGTCATGTCAGTCCGTCCGTGACGTCCGTCCGTGACTTCACGCCACGGACGGACGAGAAAATGCGCTCTCCGTCACTCACTGCAGTGAGTACCTGTCTCTTATACACATCTAGATGTGTATAAGAGACAGACCTATCCACGAGTGAATTTGTTCTACCTATCCATGATTGAATTTGTTCTACCTATCCANAATGGTATTCATGGTTAGGAATACCTCTGTCCACCTTGTCAATTTGTTCCTCGTTCAGGTCGACACCCAGAAACTTGCTGAGCTTCATGAACTCCGCTTTGGGATTTTTGGGACTAACGTTTTAAAATATCTTTGTGGTGAAAGGGTGCAAAGCTTTAGCTTAACTTGAATGGTATTCATGGTTAGGAATATCTCTGCCCACCTTGTCAATTTGTTCCTCGTTCAGGTCGACACCCAGAAACTTGCTGAGCTTCATGAACTCCGCCTTGGGATTTTTCTTCATCTTCTCGTAGAAGAGGACGAGCATGTTGGGCAGGTGGCGACGGTCCCAAGCTGCCTTCACGTGTGCCCAGTACGGCCCGTACAACACTGAAGAAAAAATATAACTCAGTACTCACTGCAGTGAGTGACAGAGAGCGCATTTTCTCGTCGAGGAAAACGTGAAGTTACGGATGGACAGACAGACAGACGGACAAACGGACGGACACAGGGCGAGCACAATAGCTCCTTTTTTCCATAAATGAGAAAATGCGCTAAAATTTGGGGCCATATTTTTGCTGCATGATTGGCTATTACTAATTTTCGTCATCGTTTTATTTTGCACATTATTAAATGAGATTTTAAATCGTATGCCTAATTTTTAAATAGTGTACTCGTAGAACTGACATAATTACCCTGCAGATATAAAAACATTAGATAGTATTATACTTTTTATATTAAAATAGGGCGCGAATCTTGAGTTTTTTCCTGTTAGTGTTGTATTGCCATCACACGATTACGAATTACACTGCCGAGAAAGAGGAATTAAATCTTACAGCTAGGCCAAATTTTATGAATATGCTTTTTAGCGCATTTTCTCATTTATGGAAAAAAGGCGCTTTTGTTCTCGTCGTGTCCGTCCATCCGTCCGTGACTTCACTTCACTTCTTCGCTAACGAGAAAATGCGCTCCCTGTCACTCACTGCAGTGAGTACTGATCTAATTTTTTATTACCGCTCTATGATAATTGTATAATAAATTTACCCGAGTCTTCAAGGAAGGCATCGACGTATTGATCAAAAGTTCCAGTGAAACCTTCATACTTGAAGAGGCGTGAGTGATGGTGATACGAGAGGCAGAGGTCTCGAGGGTCGCGGATAGTGTACACAACCTGAAGTAGAATAAATAACTGATTAAAATCATGAATATTTGAGATTAAGGACTATCGTAAAAATATTCATAATTAGGATTCCGATCAGAGTACTTTTCCCACGCTTAGCGGAAAAATTAATTGGATGAACAACTTTTACTCAA